GTGGGCCAGATGTTAGCATCAGATGTCTCCATTGCTCTCTATCTCATTTTTTTTTTTTATGACAGACTCTCCCACTGAACCTGGAGCTCACTAATTCAGAGATGCTGGCTGGCCAGTGAGCCCAAAGGATCCACCTGTCTCTGCATCCCCAGCACTGAGATCATAGACAGTTGCCACTATACTAAGCTTTTTCGCAAGGACACTGGAGATCTGAACTCAGGTGCTCACGCTTGTATCTCAAGCACTCTACTTACTGAGACAACTTCCTTGCCCCAAAGCAAACACAATGAATACTAATGAATCTGTAGATTTCGATAGCCATCCTGGTGGTCCAGTTTCAGAGTATTTCAATTATATCCCAAACCTTTGTGTTTCTGCTCAAACTTCACCTCACTCCCATCTCTGTCTCCAGGCAAACATTTCTGATTGTTCTTACTAGAATTTCAGTATGAAGGGAGCCATGCGACAGACAGCACTTCCATCCTCCCTGTCTTCTTATGATCTAACCTGACGTCTTTGGAGTTCATTCCTATTATGGCATGTGTCGATAACTTGTTTACTTTTTATTGCCGAGTAGTATTCCATTGGGTGGCTATTCTGTGTTCTACTTCTGCACGTGCCAATTGAGAAATGAGGGTCACTTAGCTCTCGCGAGACCCATGAACCACATAGTCTCTGATGTGGTATCCGGGATGGTTAGATTTCATTGTCAATGGGATACAGCCTAGAATAGAATCACCTGGGAAGAGTCTCAGTGGGGACTTCCTGCATTGGTTGATGTACTTATTCTCTCTCTGTTCCTGCATTCGATGTGGCTTGAACATGATCTCCAAAGTTCTGGTTTGAGTCCTCAGAAGATTCTAGGAGGGCATTGTTAAGGGAGTTTGAAGAGAGATTGGTCTCTAGTCTGAGAAGTCAGGCAGTTTCATTGGTTGTTTTTAGTACTGGAGAGTTTCTCTTCGTTGGTAGGGGCGAGACCTTCTTATATATATCAAACCATTTATTCATTTATTTTATGTACATCAGCAGTGTGTGTACACACATTTGAATGTGTATGGGTGCACAGGCATTTGTACATGGACACATGATGGCTTCAGGTTGACGTCAGAGCCTTCCTGGATCATTCTCCACATGATTCATTAAGGTAAGTTTAATTCAGTTTAACTCAGAGCTTGCTGAGATCGCTAATAATCTTGCCCAGGGATCCTTTATCCATTGCCTTCTAAGCATAGGGAATACAGGCAGCCTGCCATTGAGCATTTATGAGTTCTGGGGATCTGAACTCTGGAACCTTGTGCTTGCATGGCAAGTGCTGTATTCATTGGGCTGTCTCCCCAGCCCAGTAAGTATTGATAGTGTGGACACTGAGCCAAGGATGTGAGCTTTAAATGTCAACATCATGGATAGGCTAGATGGAAGATCTGTCCATCATCCCTCCTGCCTTTTAGATCATCGAGGATGGCACTGTAGGCTATACAATGCCTACAGTGTAATCAACACAGTGATTACAAGGGAGCCAGTCGTGTTGGACTTCTCATCCTTGGTAACAGGGAAATAGTTAGGCATCCAGTTGTGACCAGCTGTATCCAGGTCCAGTGTGTAATGGCGCTGTCCTCCACGTGGCAAAGGTGCTTTTCACTGTGACATTTACTCTCAATACTACTTCTTGCAGGAAGGAATCTTAGGGAGGGAGCGCAGTGAGGAGATGAGCTTCTCGAGGTGAGCAGTGGGGTCAGAATCTTGGGCCTGAGGGGCCATCACTAAGCTCTTGCTACTTAGAAGTGTACTCTGAAGATGAGCTGCATCAGCATCACCCAGAGGATTGGCTCTCCGCCTGTGGGTCTCCATCCCTTGGGTTTGTATATTGTATATCCTGATTATATTACAATTCATAATGTAGTAAAATTATAGTTATGAAATAGCAATGGATGGGCCATTGACAAGAACATCAGACAGCTAGAGATCGACATCACTAATCTGAAGAAATCCCTCATTTCGCTGTCTGAAGAGACCTCCAAAAATTGCAAAGGACTTTATTGGACTTGATTTACTCTTTTACAATAGAAAAGACTGTGTACAGCTTTTGACTGTGTACAGCCCTTAAAGAAGAATGTTGCCTTTATATAGACAAGACAGGGATGGTTAAAGAGAGCATGAAAAAGGTCAGAGAAGGCCCTGAGAAAAGACAGAGAGAGAAAGAGAAAGATGAGGTACAGGAATTGGTTTTCAACCTCTCCATGGTTGTCAACCCTACTTCCTCCCATCTTGGGACCACTAATTGGGTTATTTTTGCTTACTCCTTTTGGTCCCTGGGCCTTAAATAGGCTGACTATCTTTGTGAAACAACAGATAAATAATTTGGTAGCAAAACCTATTCAGATACATTATCGTAAGTTAGCTATGGAGGACCACGAGACTCAAGATGAAGTTGTTACTCTATCCAGGGTGTTCCCAAAACCCATCTCCACCCAACCTAAAAGAGGGTACTTCCGCCCCTAGACCAAGTTTCTGACCTGGATCTTGTCATGGAGATCTTGAGGCATAGTGGCCATGAAAAGTTTAGGCCCAGGCAAGGTAGTACATGCCTTTAATCCCAGGAGACTAAGGCAAGATTTCTGAGTTCAAGGTTCAGTCTAGGACAAAAAAAAATCCCAGATCCAGGCATAGTGGTACAAACTTTTAATCTGGGTCACAGTTTCTGCTCAAGGCCTACATAAGGACATTGGAAGAAGGAAGATTCACTCTTCTCCTGCTTGTATTTATTTGCCAGCACATCTGTTGGAATCTACTGCTACTCAAGACCAGCTGAAACAACTAGCTTCGTGGGACTGAGCAACTACTAGGTTCTTGGACTTCCCATTCACAGCTGACCATTGTTGGGTTAGCTGGACTGCAGACTGTAAGTCATTACAATAAATTCCCTTAAAATATAGAGACATTCCATAAGTCTGTGACTCTAGAGAGCCCCTAACGAATGCAGTTGGGATCACCACAACACCAAGAACTATATTGAAGGGTGGCAGCATTAGGAAGGGTGAGCACCACTGTTGTAGAGCTTGTCTGAAATGCAGAGTTATGCTGAGGATGGTTAGAGTATTTGCTTTGCATGCACAAGGCCCTGGGTTCACGCAAGGGGGCAGTGTGTATTTTCTGGGTGCAGTCCCACCCAGAGAATACAGCATACGCTATCTTCTGTCTAGGATACTGTTCTAAAGCATACGTGGTTTCTACCATGTTATGGAAGCAGAAATCTGGACATAATAACTCAGTTGCTAGAGTGCTTGCCTGGAATGCCTGAAGTCCTGGATTCCCCAGCACTGCATAAATCAAGCGTAGTGGTCATGCCTGTAACCCTAGCACTAGGGAGACTGGCGCAGGAAAATCACAAGTTCAAGGCTATCTTTAGCTACACCAGGAGCTGGTGGCCAGCCTGGGCTACATGAGACCACATCGGAGCAAAACAAACAAAACAAAATACAGGTCTGTTTTTTGAGATTCCCCAGGTAGTTAAGAAGCATTCCCAGGTTGGCCCAGTTCTGATCTAGTCTTGTGCTCAGAGAGGCCTCAAACACCTGGCTGCATGCCCATTCAGGCTCTGCCACATAATTCTAGGACAGATGACAGCACTTGCTTTGTCTTTCCTTTTAGATTAGGGTGGTTGGGCAGACAAGTGGGCCTAAGTATATAAATTGATGTGCAGTTTGCAAGGGCAGGTCATCTGTCTGAGCTGCCCTTTAAACTGATCGTCTTTGTAGCAGATTGATTACTAAAGAGGTTTGGAGGAAGTGTGCCGACTCTGTGTGATTGCACGTCTGCCTGGCCTCATTCTGTAGTCTGTGTCCACTTAGATGTGTGTGGGGTGACTTCTGTGAATATGTGTAATGCAAACAAACCCACCACCACTAATTCTGATGCTGTGTGCTCCTTTGTAGCAGGGTGAACCTATCAGTGAGAATAATACCAAACCTTAGCACAGAGACCTAGAAACAGACTTGGAGGTGCCAACCCCAAAAGCTTTTGAATTAGCTTTTGGGATCCCAACTGACAATCTGCATTGCTAGGAATTCCCAGATGATTTCAATTGGGAGTGATCAGAAATCGTAGTTTCAAAGGTACCTTAGCTCCCCAGAAACTGTCTCCTAAACTTTACTTAAGTACTCTGACGATATAAAGGCTGTTTTCAGCAATCCAGCCTAGGGATACCCCCGGACTGCATGAATAGAGAAGCAATCGAACGTATTCTGCCATCAATTTTATACTCCTGAGTTCCAAAACCTACTGTCTGGGCTGCTGCCGAGCACTGACATTTGCTTCCTTTCACAGATTCTGAAGCTCTACCTATTGTGATGGCAAACAGATAGTTGGGGTAACTATTATGTTTGATCTTTGTTTTTTTTTGTTTTTGTTTTTTTGGTTTTTTTTGAGATAAGCTCTCGTGCAACCCAGGCTGGCTTCAAACTTGCTATTAGCTGAGGTTGACATTGAGTTCCTGGTCCTCCTCTGCCTCCACCTTCCATGTGCTGGGTTTACAGCTGTGCACAGGCACAGCCTGCTATGCTGTTTGAGTTTGAAATTTCAGTTGTCCTCTGGTTGGTGGCTGGGATCAGTGTGCCGGAGACATTGAGTACATAGTCTTTGGCACCCAGGCTGTGGGTGCTACCCTCATGTTTATGTCCTCAGTACCTTGCAGCAGACTCAACCAGGGTGACTTAATCCCTGCTATTACCTGAGTGACCTGGTCTATCCTTGGCATCTCTGATTGAAGTTCCTCTAGGCAGATTTTTCCACCTGTGGAAGCAGCTCAGCGTAGAGTGTTCTGCTGTGACCTTCCTGGGGCTCCTTGTCTAAAGCTTGCCCGCAGAATGCTGGGTAACGGCGGATTCCTGCCAGGAGAAACCGGGACTGCACTTTATCCATAACTGAGTAGACAGGATTTACATCATCAGAATGCCTTGCCTGTCTGACTCCATTTCGTATTATTAAAAACAGAGACTTGGAACTTTTATTTTTTTTTATAAAAAATTTATTGAGATGATGTAATTATAGGTTTTTCTTTAAAAATTATTTGCAACTCACTGGCCCTGAGAAAAGGCATTTTTTGTTTGTTTTTTTTTTTCTTTTTTTGTTACATTCATTTGATTCAGTCCCTTATAAACCCCACACCTCATAAACAAGAGATTAGAAACTAAACAACAACAACAGAAATTCATTCTAGATTCATCTGGCTTGCAGGTGGGTGCAGTCACAAAGAGAAGTCTTCAGAAGAGTGTTCACCTGCGAGGGTGAAAGAGTGGGGGCGGGTAGCGGTTTGAAGTTGTTTAGTGTTGATGCGGATGGGGCCAAAAGAATGCTGGGTGAGTCCTGTGTGCCTTGTTGATCGGCAGGGTTCCGGGGTGTCCCTCTGTACCCCTGCCCCACTGGGTTTTTTTATGCCGTCCAATTTAGGTTTCTGCTCAAAAGAGGAGCAGGCTGAGAGTGCACAGCAGCACTAACTAGCACCGAATGACTGGGCAGTGAAAACCACCCTTGGCATCTTTAGTTTCTTTGCTGGGGATGGATCAAATAGGGGTTTAAACCAGGATGACTTCTAGCTGCATTCTGAACACTTATCCTGCCAGTAAGTGCAGACTGGCCGGATCCTGATCCTAACCCTGTCTCTCATGCTGTCTGCTCCCAGGGAAAGTGACACGACCTCGCTCAGGTTGTCTTCTGCCAACCACAGTGAATGTGCCAAACTGTGTTTATGGTTGGAACCCGAACAGTGTGAAAAGACAGAGTGGCCACTAGGTCATTCCAGGGACACCTCCCAGACATCTAGATGTCAGAGTGACATTCTTATCTGGACAAGGTATTAGTGTAAAAAGATGCTGGATCAGAGGGCCCTGAATGAACAAGCAAAGAAGCCCGCTTTGTTCTTTTCTTATGAGGACCATTTTCTTTCTGAAAAAAAGATACTGAATATCAGGGGTGACTCTGCCTTCAGTCGGCACCAGGGCACCTTGGATCAAAATTATCGGAGGGAAACTACTGTCAACATGTAAGCAGCTACCGGTGGTTTCTGCTGAAGGAACCCTGAAGACAGTCCGGCCAAGGACTGAGGACAGAGAATCCCAGGACCTCGGTGGCAATGCCTTTCCTCCACATGGTAATGCTTTCCTGCAAATTCCTTTCCTGACCCAACCCACGATGGCTGCAGAAAAAGGCCACTAAAAGGAGCTTTTAGATTCCTTCCATCACCTCTTGAACTTAATGTTGAGCTAGAAGGTCATTGTGGATAGAAAAAAAAAAAACAACAAAAACCAAAAAAACAACAGAACTCCCTTAGTGCTGTTCCCTCCAAGGTCTGATCAGCTAAATCTGAACCTTCTGAGTCTGCTGCCTGAGAGCCCTGTACTCTGGGTGACAACCCCGGCCGTATTTTCTCTCCAAAAAACAAACGAGGACTTTTACAGTTAAGAGAACCATAGACATCATTACTGGTAACACCAGGTGTGAAATAAAGACGGTATTGCCAGGAGCATTTCTAACGTAAGTGGCTGGAGCTGTCATCCAAGACTCCTTAGGGAACAGAGGAATTTCCTTCCACAGTTCATCTGGAAGATTCTTCGGGCAGTTAAGAGACTGAGTTCTAAGCATGGGCAAAGTGGCTAGAATGAAGTGTTCTAGTTTCTAGGACCTCAGTCAAAACAAAAACAAAAAGCCCACCCTTTCTCTCTTGCTCTTCAACCCAGTGGGTCATACAACACAACTATTTGGCTTAATTTCCCTATTTGATATAAGGTACCAGTCATTGTAGAGGACAAAAAAACAAAACAAAACAAAACAAAACAAACAAACAAAGAAAAAAAACATTAAAAAAATTATCCCCTGACATACTTTTAAGAAACACCTAGCATGTGACTCTCATCATTACGTATGCATACTAAAACCAAACGCCTCACCCAGAAAGCCGCTGACCTCTTCGAAGGCAGATGAGGGAGCCATGAGGAAGCCACAGTAAGACTAAAGAAGCCAGTCTATAAGCGGATGTCGGGTGAGTGATGTGCCCTGGTACTCCTAGCCTCTATGTGCCCCACTTAGGAATAGTTGCAGGGCATCTCTGGTCTGTCAGCTTCACCTGTATCCTGCTTCTGGTCAAAGACATACCCAGGAGGGCTGGGAGAGGCTCACTCCATGGTGTAGAAGGAGACAGGAAAGTCAAGGAATAGTTTTGAAAGGCAGGCCTCATTATCTGGGGTTTAAAACAGTGAACTTCAAAGAGTCCATTTAGATGGCTAGCAAAGGAAAAAAAAAGCCAGGCGTGGGGGTGCATGCCTTTAATCTCAGTGCTTGAGAGGCAGAGGCAGGTAGATCTCTGAGTTCTAGCCTGGTCTACAAAGTGGGTTACAGGGATACACAGAAAAACCCTGACTCAAAAAACAAACGAGAAAAAAAAAAAAGAAAAGAAAAAAAGGAAAAACCCCACTGAAACAGTTATCTAAAAATCTCTGCTATCAAAAATCCTAAGGGCTAGCAATACCCTCATCTTGGAAGATACTACTGACCTTATGTGGAGGTGAAAAAGAGCCACAGATACGTTCTCCTGAAATACAACCATGACAGGAGGAAAAAAAAAAAAAAAAAGCATGAATCTGAGGAATTTCCTGTCTGCTCTGGTTGTGCAAATACCGGCTGTGCCCGAGACTAAATTCCAGGATCCTCCCTTATGTGTGTTCTGTGTTCAGTGAGGACCAGGAAAGAAGAAAAAGGCTAGGACTTGGAGGGGGGGGCGGGAGGGCAATCCCACAAGGGCATGATGTCTCGGGACAGCCTTGATGACCTGTTCTCACTGCAGAGCAGCTAGTTCTCTGTCTAGCTCCTGGACTACCGGGCCTATGTGGTCTTCTCATAGTTTCCCAACGAGTAGCACTTTCGGGACAATCCCAAACAGCCGGGGCCTTGTGAATGCTATGGCTACCGTCTGTAGTATCTTGTGCCCAGTGCTCCCACTGTTCATCCTCTAGAACACAGCAGCATTTGGGGGGTGTGTGTGTCTGGCCTCCCTCAGATGGGTGCCCAAGAAGTCTGACTGTCACAGAGCAGGTGGGTCAATGTTTACTTCAGGTTCTAGTGAGGCTAGTTTTGAGGAAAGGCCTGTGAAGTGGAACAGCAGGCAGAGAAAGGGGTAGGAGAAGGGGGGGGGGATGAGTGAGACGGGGTGGAGGGAGATGGAGACAGAACTCTTCTTTTTCATTGTCTGAAAGTATCTCTCTCATTTTGCTTTCCTTTCTCATCTCAGACCTGACTTGGACAGGACAAACCAGATCTACGTAGCAGGAAAAAGAGGAACCCGATCCCTTCTGCAAGTTTTCTCTTTCCTGACCAGCTGAGCTGGCCGTACTTGGTGAGATTTGCAACAACAACAAAAAATTAATAATATATATAATAGATATATTTCCATAGGAAAACAACATGTGATGTCTTCCCTGTATGAACGATGAATAGTCAAACTGCATGTTCTTAAAAAAAACAAAAACAAAAAACAAAACCAGAAACACCATGAGACTAACAACAGGTGCAGGGTGAGGGTGAGGGTTACAGACAAGAGATCCGAAGGAGAAGCAAAACGTGACGTGTGAGTCTCAGGCTTGTGCCCTCCACCAGAATTCCAGCCCTGCCATTGCTGGGTGGCTTGTCTAAGGTGCTCTGGGTCCCTCTTGATCTGCAAGAGAAGTGTTCCCGCTCTTCCTGGGTCTCTTCCTTTTCAGCCATCCCTAGCTCGCCTGTTCCATCACGCCTCCTGCGGTCCCTGTGGGCAGGTTTCCTCTTGGCCAGCCCACCGGTGAGGCTGTGGTAGGTTCCCTTAACATTCATCCTCTTGGTACGTTTGTTCATCCAGCTCCTGAGACTCGAGGTGTTCTAGGCGGTCTGTCCGGCCACTCATGATCTCATCCGGGGTTTTCATGAACCTTTGGACCAGGAAATGAAAGAGTCAAAAGAATCTGTGTTCCCAAGGATGTCCCCCCCTTCACTCTATCCTTTAGGACAACTTACATGGAAACTAGGAACCTATTGAACCTAGACACCATGAGGGAAACAGTGCTTTTTGGTGCTAGGGGTGTCTTATTGCTGGATCGTATAAAGGAACCTGGGTGTCTCGGTTTTTGAAGACTGTGTGTGGTGCGTGCAGGATGCATCTGTGCATGGGGATTCAGAGCACATCAGGTATGCCATTCTAGCACCTCCTCCCTTAGTCTCAGGAGACAGCACCGGCAGCTAGGCTGGCGGTCAGCAAGCCCCAGTGACCCACCTGTGTCTACTCTTCACATAGCTCCTCGTATAGGTATGTACACCCTCTCCACTCTTACAGCAACTTACACGGAAACTGGGAACCTACTCTCATGTGGCATTTTTATGTGAGTGCTGGAGATTTGAACTCAGTTCCTCAGGCTTACACATCAAGCACTCTTGCCCATGGGGCCTGCTCCTCAACCTTCAAGAGTTAGACTTTTACAGAGACCCACAAGAGTCCTAGATCCACTTCCACTCCAATTGGAGAGCCCAGAGAACAGTATTCAAAACTTGAGTTTAACTCAAAGGATACTATTAGGTGTTGAGTGGATACTTTTGATTAACAGGCAGGTTAGGGAAGGAAGCTTCTGGAAATCAGAAAAGCAAGATGAATCCTCTTTTTTCCACTGATCTACCTGAACTGATAGAAATGACTTCATGTCCTCCTTCCTTTGTAGCTGGAGTGGACAGCAAGCCTCTCATTCTTGATCACTGTGTGTCACTAGGAATAGTACTATGGTTTGTATGTGTACGTGGGAAGCCTGGTGGCAAACGCTTTGTCTTCCTTGACAAGGGACAGGGTAGCAGTGGGGGTGATGTGACAGTGGGGTGGGGTGACAGTCAAGTTGGGGGGCGGTGGGGTGAGGTGATGGTCCAGTGAGGTGGCGGTGGGATGGGGAGGCGGTGGGGTGTGGGGAGGGCTGAGTTTTTATGCAGACTTCACTCTTTCTGCAACTTTCCCCTTTTCCTATGTGTGGCCCATAGCGATGAACTACTTTCAAACACCCCTTTCCTGTCACCACCCTGCTGGGTCCGAGATGCAGTCTTTGGGCCGTCTGCCAAAGCTCCCAAAGAAACACTTGCTTTCTCTGCTTACTTCTGTTTACCCACTGCTCCTGTCTGCTAGCCCTCACAGAAACCACGGCTCATGTCTTTTTGCAAACTTTCAGAGCTGTTCTGACCTGAAACCCTCTGGCCTCTTTCCAGTACTCTCTTGTTTTCCTTTATCACCAAGGGTGCTTACCAGCACTGTGGTCTGCCTACCAAATGTCCTGTTACTACACCAGACTACAAACCTAGTCATATATGTGTGTGTGTGTGTGTGTGTGTAGTCTACCTACCAAATGTCCCATTACTACACCAGATTACAAACCTAGTCATATATATATATATATATATATATATATATATATATATGCGTGTGTGTGTGTATGCCTACACATATGTATATATGTGTACACATGAGTGTGTGTGTATATGTATATATGTATGTATGTATGTATGTATGTTATAAGGCACCATGTTGCACAGTTTGGTTTCCAACACATATTTCCTAGGAAAAGGCTACTCTTTTCCTCAAAGCTTCTAACTGGACGTTGGCGAACCTTTTGTGTCTACTGACGTTCCTTTCTGCTCATGAATACTCAGCTCCATGTCACGGCTGTTTCTGTCTGTGTTTTGCTGTCTTCCCGATAAGATGTCTTCCTCAACATCCGAAGTTGCTAAAGCTTCTCGAAGGCCCAAACTGACCCTTCCTTCAGACTACTTTGCCATAGTAAACATTGAAACCATATCAGGCCACTTGGTCATGAAATGTTTACTGAGATCTTCCCTAAAGTATATACAAAATTAAATAAATCAGAGGCCTCTACTTCTAGGAACTTATGATTCAGTTGTGGCGAGGAAGACTTCACACATATTATTAAACTATACTAGTCACAATTACTGAAGATGTTTTAAAGACTTATTTTAGTTTATGCATATGTTCTGCATGAGTTTATGTGTGCCACGTGCATGCAGGAGCCTGAAGAGGCCAGAAGAGGACATCAGATACCATGGCACTGGAGTTACAGATGGTTCTGAGCCATCATGTACCTGCTGGGAATTGAATCTGTTTTTTTTTGCAAAAGCAGCAGTCACTCTTAACTGCTGAGCCTGTCTCACCAGTTCCACACTTACTATTAAAAATGAAAGTTATAGTTGTTTGAGGACAAAGGGTACTCAGGAGATGGTGGGAGAGGGTGTCTGTGTGTGTGAGCAAGCAGTTGTGGAAGGCCTCAGGAAGGACAGTCATCTTGAGGGGGCCTTGAGGGTGTGTGTATGTGAGAAAGTAAGGGATATACATGTCTGTCATACACATTCCATGAATGTGCTTGTCACAGACTTCAACTGCAGACAGGCTGGTTACAAACCCTGGGAAACACAGCTGCCAGGCTTCAGGCCTTCTACACAGAACAGACAGGGATAATGCTGCCAAGACAGTAGACAGAGCAGCCCAGTAACTGACTTGGGATACAGAAAGAATCAAATATCAGGCTAGCTTCAAGATTACTGTTGCACGGTAGTGGTCCACTGACGAGAACAGAGCTCTGGGTAGAATTTCTCAGCCATGAAGGCCGGCCTTGCAGGAGCCACATCTGGAGTGCTAGTGTGATATTTTAGTGGGTATATCATATACCAAACATCTTTTTGAAATTCCACGAGGAGTATCATGGTAAGCTTTAAGACTCAAGACTGAGGTGACAAACAAGGTTGAGGCGGTGGGATCCAGTCATCTAGGATAAAAGAATGGGGAGCTGAAAGTATGGGGTGAAGGATGAAGAGAAGGTGTGAACAGAGCCGGAGGCGGGGAGGGCTGGTCTGTACTTATTTATTCCACTGTCACGTTTTCAAGCGTTTTCTGTTCCTTTTGAAGATCAATGTGACTGTTATTGGTCCTATATTACTATTCCATCTCGGTGCTAATGTGTGGCTTCTGTGCTCTCCTAGTGAGTACCGTCATCAAGGTCACCCCGGCTCCTCATACACAGTGCATTTCCCCACCTGTACATAGATGATTCTAAATCTACATCTCCAGCCCCAGCTGTTGTGCTTTTTGTCCTATTTGCCCAAACCTATAACCTAAAGTCCTACTTGCAATCGGGCTTCCTCCTGTCACTTCAGTGACCAATGGTGTTAGGGCTCTGCCTATGCCACCCTCATTATCCCTTCTTCCTTCTTCTCGACTTCTGGAAATCCACGGTAGGTGAAACGGCTGCAACCATTAGCTATGGAGCATTTGGAAGGAGGGAGGGCCCCCGACCTCAGTGACTGTCATACTTTTCTAACAGTGATGTGTTTGTAAGACATACAATTCAAGGGGCTCAGTTGGTAAATTGCTTGCCATGTATGAGTTCAGTTCCCACCCACACAGAAGGGGACAGAGTGATATATGCTTAGTCATCCCAGGTGCTGGGAGCTGGGGACAGGCAGAGCCTCTTAGCCAGTCCTAAGCTAGTGAGTCCTAATTTCAAAAAACAAGGTAGAGAGGGCCTGCGAAGTGACATCAGGGTTTGACCTCTGGTCTCCACATGTGTGTGCACACACATGTACACACACATGTACACACACATGTACACACACAATCGAAACAGAATCTTTCCGAATTAATGGTCGCTCTTTGATGAGGTACAATTTGGTATACCCAACTCCGTGAGACTGTATTCTCTATTTCATTAAGAAAGTGGCTGGTGTTGACCAAGTACACCCACACAGTGACTCACTGTGGGTCATGACCTGAAGCTTGACAAAGCAGCTTCCAGGTTTGGTGACCTGGAAGTCCCAGCTTAATCCTTCACTTTGCTATTGACAACAGTTATTCTGATTGCTTCGGTTAACTCCACCGGACATCAATGTCAGATAATGCTGTTTGACCACTATGTTATTTTAGAGATGAGTCAGAGCGCATTTAGCTTTGGCTCTCATACAGGACAGACCTCAGTGAAAAGAACGATCTTTCCCCCTTAAATCCTAACAAACCAGCACCCAGTTTCCAACCAACTTTCCAGTCCAATTGCAGCCTTGGCTCTGGGCCTCAGATCGGCATGTCAGAGCTCCTGACAGCCTCCCTCCTCCCTCTTATGTAAAGAAAATAATGTCCTCCCCAAAGAAGGAAAGGAAAAAGAGGAAGTGCTACCTGAACAAAAGCCTTTGTCCGGGCTCCTTCCTGATAATGTTTAGTTTGTAGTAGTGGCGCAGGGCTCTGGACATTTTCTCATAGGTCATGTTTGTTCTGTTCTGTTTGTTCAAAGGAGGAAGGGAGAGAGAGAGGGAGGGGGGGAAAAGTACAAAGACACAATGAAATGAACTTCAGAAAAGGCACTAGGCAGCTATTAAAATAAAGGCTGTTGAGTCGCTCCACATGCCCTCACCAGCCTGAGAACGCCACCTACTTGCTGGTCTGCCGCCTTCTAGGGGCCTTCCTTCTGCTGTCTGCCCTTAAAGCCATTGTGGCCAAGGTCTCCTCCTAAACTGAACTGCCCTACTTAGGGCTGGAAGTACTAACTAACCTAGCCCATCCTACTGCAACTGGCCTCAGGCCTTCTCCCGAGACTGCTCTGAGCTTCTATCTCTGGTGGGAGGCCTTCATATTCTGGTTTTGGGGTGCAATGACTATTATCCACTTGTCTCTGGTCTGTCATTGCTATTGACAGGCAGTGCACAGAAGGTCCCTCAGTGACTTAGGCACCCAAACATCTGTGTATGGGGCCTTGACATATTTGTTCGTGGCCCTGGACTGGGCTTTCTCAAATGGGAAAGAGCTCAGGTTGCCTTCTTAGGAGGCCCGAGGCTCTGCTCTGCGGCCTGGATCATAATTATCTCCTTTTTATATCTGAACATTTGAACTGCCTTCCTTACCATAAAGGACTTTGTTTTCAATTCCACTTCCTCTTCCTCCTTTGGAAACCTGTGGGGGCAGACTTGTTGCAACTCTTGCTTGTAAAGGGGCTGTTTTATAATCAGAACATATTTTCCATGCAAAAATGGACTTTTGTGAAAAGGGGGGTTTCCAACTGGTGGGGACAGAAGTAACACTTCCCAAAGGTCCCCTGTGAGTCATAGACCTCTCACTACTTCTCTATTCCTCAGTACTTAGGGACAACTGGAGTGGCAGATCCAGTTCAAGGGGTGTGGTCAGGGGAAACATTTATAATTGGTCTACTGAACTGAGCTCTGCTGAGTTAATGGGCCCCAGACAGAGGTAACACATGGAAAAAAAGGCATCCTTACTTATTTCCTTCCTTCACAGCTACCTAACTGTTTGCCCAGTGAGGAGAAACCAAAGAATCATGGGCAGACTTTGGAGGCACAAAGACAATCATCCTCCAATTGAAGGATGAAGACTGTATTTTGGCATCAGCTTCCCCAGCAAATATTTGGCCATGTTACCTTATGGTTTCCCCAGAGTCGAGCCAGTCCGTTGGGATCCACTATCCGGAATATTTTGGATTCTTTGTCCTCCCATCGGATGAAGTTTTCGTACCGGCTGTCAGAGAGCAACTGATAGACGTAATCCCAGAGCAGTCTACAGTCTACAGAGAAGAGAGGAAAGCACTGTTGAGAATGTCCTTGTAGAGGCAGTCATAAGATTCAGAAAAGCGATGTGTAGCCACAGCTTGGGCCTGGTTTTGACTGTCTTGTTTCCTCATTTCATCGATGAACTGGGTCCAGAGAGGGCCTGTGAGCTCCTGCTGACCTTTGACCCAGGGAGGCTTGGTGTTGACCAAGGCCACCACCTCTATACAAGGACCAAGGAGATGACTTGTTCAGAGTCATGACAAAACTTGAAGTTGAACCACCCAAGTTGAAGGATGAGGCACCAAGCTGTGCCAGCAAAGGAATAAACAGGCTTTGACAACGGGCTACAGAGAGGGTAGATGTATAAATGGTAGAAAGAGAATCTCTCTCTCTCTGTGTGTGTGTGTGTGTGTGTGTCTGTAGGTCAGAGGTTGACATCAAGTGTCTTCATAAATCACTTTCCATCTTATTAGTTTGGAAATGTCTCTGTGTGAGTGTGTGTGGGCATATCCACATACACTAAAAAGCTAGAGGAGACACTGGTATTATCTTTATGGTACTTTATGTGTCTTACTGTCTTGAGACAGGGTCTCTTACTGAACCTGTAGTTCACCGTTTTTGCTAGGCTGGCAGGCCGGGAAGCTCTAAGGATCCAACGATACCCACCACCATCCTAAATTCTGGGGTTACAGCTGTGCGCTGCCATTTTACATGGCACTGACTTTTACACAACCGCTTGGGAATTTTTGCATAGGAAGCACTTACCCACCGAGCGATCTCTCCAGGCCCTTCGACTATTTCTTATTCATTTATAGATATAGTCTCTCACTGAATATGAATCTAGACTGGCTGGCCCTCAAGCTCCAGGCATCCCCCCGTCTCTGTCTCCCTAGAACTGTGTTGTTTACAGATACGTACTGCCATTATGTGAGTGCTGGGGGATCACTATCAGGTCCCCGTGCAAATATTTACCAACTGACCCACTCCTCGAGGCCAGAAAGAAAATCTTGTAGTTCCAATGAGAACAGTATGATTAAAAACAGTTAAAAGATTAAAGTTTAAAGATTATTTTGCAGATGGTGGAAGATGCTGAATGGATAGTGGAGGACAGGGGCTAAAACGAAAACAGCAAGAAATGAAAGATGATGGGAAATTAAAAACTATGTGGCTTGGTGACGTTGGCTGTGGGGACTATGGCTAGCATCTTTAAAAAATACAGATGTTTGCATTAAATCATCCTTTGGAGGTTTTTCAAGTTGCTTTATCATAATGGAATCATGGTGGAAAGGAACTTCGTGCAAGAATATCATTTCTCATTTGGAGAATTCATACCTGATGATGTGGTCAGACAGCAAACATTCATAAGACGATTTAGTGTCATCCTGCATTGGGCTGAGCCCCGAGTTTTGACTGTGAATCTCTGGCTTCTGGGTCTGTGCTGTAAAGCTACCTGGTTTGCCCTCCAGCCCAGACCAATAGGTAAGCAGAGACAGACATGCATCTTGTGGGTATAGCAGATGCTGGATTGACCCCTGGCTTAAGAGTCAGGAGGTGCCCTTTCCAGCTGCTCCCTGAATGTTTCTGGGATCCCTGAGGGGTGGGGGGGAAGGGCTAGCTAGATGGCTGGTAACAGAAGACCAATGACTGAATGTGCACATTATGTAGTTACATGAATGCGTGTATTCCTGCGTGAGCAAGTGAGTACCACACACATGTAGGATCCCACAGAGACCAGAAAAGGGCACTGGATTCCCCAGAACTAGAGGTAGAGAGAGTTGTGAGCTGCCATTTGGGTGCTGGGAACTGCACTTGAGGCCTTTGCGAGAACAGCAAGTGTCCTAACCAGCTTCCCAGCCCCAGTAAGCGACTTTATAAAAGATATCTGCAAGAGCTCCCTAACATATCTGTGAGGACACAGCAAGAAGATGCTACCTATGAAAGAGAGGGCACATCCATCAGTAGACCTCACTGTTGATACATACACTAAATATACACTAGTGCCCTTCAACCCTGGAGTCTCCAGAAGTGTGGGGGGGTGACATTTCCTTCCTACTTCCTTTTCCTCTTCCCTCCATTCTTCCCTCACTCTTCTCCTGTACTTCCTATTTATAGACAGAGTTTCAGTATGTAGCCCAGGCTGGCCTCAAACTCATAGTGATGTACCTGTCTTCACCCTCCAAGTGCTGAGGTGACAGGCGTCACCACATTTGGGTAATTCCCACTGTTGTGGAGGTCACCTCATGGCGTACTGTTTCAGCAGCCTGGGTGGACTAAGACAAGAGCTGTGATTCTCTTGTCCAGCTTTGGTGCCACAACCAAAGGACAGGCACACTTGAGTTTTCTGTAGTCTCACCCGACTGGAAAAACGTCTCCCCAAACCAAGCCCTATTCACATAAAATGCTGTTCAGTGAGGAGAAAATGAGGTGTGCACACAGCCCCTGCTCTGCATGCCTGAGTATGTATACCTATGAGTGCAAACACACATGCATGTGGAAGCCAGAAATCAAGGCTAGGTATGTCTTCAACTGCTACGCACTGTGGTTTTTGAGACAGGGTCTCTCACTGAACCTGACACCCATTAGTGAAGTCTGACTGGCTGGCTGGTAAGTCCCAGGGTCCTCCTGCCTTCCCTTAACCAGTGACAGGGTTACAGGTGAGCACCTCCATGCCTGGCTCTAGTGTATTCACCTTAGTAAGGTTAACACAAGGTAAGCACAGTCCTCTGGGCTCCAGGGCCCCTGTAGGTTCAGCCTTAGAGAGTGGACGGCTCTCCTGACCTCCATTCTCATCTGCACAGGGATTTTCCATTGCACTTTCTTTCTTTTACTACCACGGCACATCCCAGCTATACAGTGTCCCTTTGATTATTTCTTCAGCTAAAGGCTTACCCAGCCCCGGGGTGTCAGGTGGTCTTTTCAGAGGCCTCAAATTGGGTTCCAGACTGTGACTGTATGATGTGCCCACTGGATGGCGAATGCAGGACAGGGCTTGCCGGAGAACAGACTGTACTTGTAAGCTTCCAGAACATTTGTATATTGCAACATTTTTTCCCCTTTCATAAATTTGAAAGTAACCCCAAACAAGCTCCCAATTGATCACTTTAAATGACATTTAATCCAGCAAAGCCAACATTAGCTGCGTAATAAAAACGTTGACATTCAAGACACACTGAATTACTCAGCCACTAACGGAAGTAGCAAGGGGAATTTCATGGCATAAAGCAGTTGCTTCAAGCTCAGAGTGTAAGTGGCTTTTATAACACTATTGATTTCTCTGTTTCTTTAAAAATTATGCCCAGATGATAAAAATAACTGTCTGACCACATAGCCATGTTCTCTCTTATTTACTAGAAAAGTGTAAGCCATCTGAGTTATTTTTCTTTTCAATATATCTATTAAGTAAAAGGCACAATCTTTTGTTCTCTAGATCTTTTGGATACTATTATCAGAGACCACCTGGAATTTTCTAGCTTTGTCTGACACCATGTCTGTACAGATGAAGTGTTCTTTGGTCAATAATAAAAATGCTGTAATTCAATAAACAAAACAGACTAAATTCTATTAGCAAAGTCCATCCTTCTATAAAAGCAACCGAACATGCATGTTTATTATTTTCAAACCACAAGTTAGTTATTCATTTTAAGTTTGTTTCTCCTAAGGAGACAACGGGGAGTGTAACTGTTAGTTTGACGCAATATAGAATCATCAAGGTGATAGGGCTCTGGGAATGTGTGTGTGGATTATCTTGACTGAGTTAACTGAGATTGGGAAGACCTGCCCACTCTGGGCGGTGCTATTCCCTAGATGGGTTTCTAGACTACATAAATGGAGAAAGAGCTAAGCAGTAAAATGTAGTCATCCCTCTCTGCTTTCTGATTGTAGGAGCTTCAAGCTCCTGCTGCCTTGATTTCCCCACTGTGATGGGCTGTACCTTGATTTGTGAGCCAGAATAAACCCTCTCTTTTAAACTGTTTTAGTCAGATTATTTTATCAGAGCAAAGGGAAAGGAAACTAGGACAAGGGTATTTTCTTCCATATAGGGACATTTGAGTATTTTAAAGAAATGCTCATCAGTTACTTGGATCATCTCTTCTTCGAGAGGAAGTTTACGGAATGGATTATCTCAGATAAAGCCACTTTCCAACTGCAGGAACAGTTTCCCTGTTTCCTGCTGGGTGAGGTACCTGGCTATCCGCCTCTATACAAGAAGCATTGTAAAAATCCCTTCCTGTGGTTAGGGAGAAATATTTTCACTCCCACGTCTATCTCCTACTAGAGACTTATTGTATAAACTCACAGGACAGAGAATATAAAAAAGATGGGCAATTCACACATAACCAATATGGCTTCTAAAAAAAAAAATCCCTGTTAGACACAACCAATCTTTAAAAGTTTTGAGTAGGCGGGTCAAATTACAGACAAAGGGAATGTGTAATGATGGAGAATAACATTTAACTTTCCAGAAAGTTTCTAAGAAAGTTGTTTTTTGTTGTTTTACTTGCTCAAATAGAATTTTAAGTGATGGTCTACAAACCCTGTCTGCACCATGGGCTTTAAGTTTACATTACCCACGGGACAAAGTTCAGTGTCCCTGGTTACACTTTTAACATTGGTGACCTCAAAATGGCTAAGTTTCTTGAAAGCTCAGCAGCAGAGCAGGTACAGTAAGATATAAACTGAAAAGTGACAGCCAGCTGGTGACAGCCGTTGTTCTGAGCTGAGCAGTGACTTTTCCATCTGAGCTGGTGTGTGACAGTGTCTGGAGACACTTCCAGTTGTAACACCAGGGGTGGATGGAGGTGCTTTTGGCTAAGGCTGCACAGGACAAGTCCCCGTGACAAAGCATTCTTTGGCCTCAATATCAAAGTGTGTGAGAGTTGGAGTGCCCTGCTTATAGAAACACAGGTTCACAGCATAAAGGGGAACGTCTGCCATCCAGGCACTCTTTCCTTCTCCAGGCTACGTCAGCTATTGCCCACAAGTGCAGAGTCCATAGATTAAGCACTGCCAACTG